CGATCCCTGATGTAATCCAACAGAAATAGGAAAATATTTGGTCAATCCTCCTTCAGTTTGAACACAAGTAACAGCTCTAGTATACATATCTTTAATGACTTGAATATATGTCATATCAACATCTTTCTTCTCAAGAACTCTCCAAAGGATATCTCTTGGAACATTATCGTAAGCTTTTTCTAAATCAATAAAAATCAAATGTAGATTCTCCATTTGATATCAAATTTAGATATCTCTTGGAACCCTCCAAAAGAAAATATTGCATTCACACCATTAAATAAAAATATGTACTTAAAAATATTCAAGTAGTTTATAGGGTAATAGAAGTTCATGATATTTTTAATAAGCAAAGTTGTCATTTACCATGAGTAATGTACATCAACATAAAAATATTTGAGAACATTTCAGACATTTAACTTACAAATAAATTAAAAAGTTATCTGAAAAAATATAACCGAGTTGCCTAAATTCATGAACATGAACCTAATATAGAAGATGAGATTGAAAAGAAAACAACAACAACAAAAACCTTTATAACACTAAGTGGGGTAGGTTACATGAATTCTTTTTCTCCATTGTGTCCTATTTAGTGTCAAATTTTCATTTAAATAATAAATTAAGATCATTTTTTATACAATAAGCCCAAATCTTCCTAGGTCTACCATTGTCTTTTTTAACATAAGTCGAATCTAAAACATCTACTCTCCTAATCGGATCATTCTCCTAATACTCTCCTAATCGGATCATCAAATGGTCGGCGTTTAATGTGACCAAACCATCTAAGACGACTCTCTCTAATTTTGTCTATTACTAGAGCTACACCAACCCTATCACGAATATATTCATTTTGCAATTTGTTTCTAAGTGTACAACCACTCATCCACCTAAGCATTCTCATGTTGAAAACACTTAACTTAGTTCTATGCTTCTCTTTTAAATGCCAGCATTTAGGCCAACATTTTTGCAGGTCTCACCACCATCTTATAAAATTTTCCTTTCAGTCTAAGCAGTACTTTTCTATCACACAATAGGCCCGAAGCATTCCTCCACTTCAACCAACCAACTTGAATTCTACTAATAACATCCGCATTTATATCACCATCACTTTGAACAATAGACCTGAGATATCTAAAGCGTTCACACATTTTAATAATCATGAGACTGAAAAGAAAAAAAATTAAAAAATTAAAAATTAAAAGACTTGAAACATTTGTAAGCAATGAAGCACTTGCTAAAGATAATTTAACCTTACAAGTTGTCGAGAGTTAGGCAAGTAAGTTCAAAGTAAAATTAATGACTTGTAAGTCATTTGCTAATTACTTTAAATACTTATGGAGAAAATTATGCACCGTTTGGATTTAGGGGCATTTACATAACACACAATTCTTATCTATTTACATATCCCACACATAAACTTTAATTTACAAAAATAGCCTCAGCTTTATAATATCAAGGCAAAAATAACACTATTACTGCATTTAAAAAGTCAAATACATTTTTTCATGCATAGTTTTAAAGCACTGAAGTGGTTTGTATGTAAAAATGAATGTCTAGATGTGATATATGTAAATACATAAGAATTTGGTGCTATGTATGTAAATTTCCCTTGGATATAATACTTTTGTCAGCCTTGTAACTTTAACAGAAGAATGGTATGAAAAATTTGTAAATGTACTATAAAAACGCAAAGCATTTTTAAGAATTCGTCTGAAATTTAAACCACATTGATGTTGAAAACACAAGATTAGGTAGTGAGTGGTTGCCATAACTAAATCAAGCAAATAATCTTAGTAGCCATTCCACTGACGAACTCTAAAACAATGGCTAAGCAGCACACATATACATGCTGACATGCATAAAGACTACGAATCAAATAGGTTACTATAAACATAACCAATGAGCTGCCCGTAACTACTTTACCTATTGACGATGATGACAGGCAACGTCCGATTACCCGAAACGACGACGCATATTCCCTCTCAGTAAGCTATAGATCCAAGAAAAATCAGGGAAAAAAAAGCAAAACATTAGTAAAGAGGAAAACAAAACACAGCAAAATGGAGAAAATTTTTGCCAATATAAGCTTCGAAAGGATAAAGTAAAAGAACCAATGACTAAAAACAACAATGTCGCCGTAAAGAAAGCAAAGTAGACACAATGATGCATTACAGCGCTTAATCTCTAACTAAGGACTGCAAAGAAACAATTGAAGACAAGTTAAGAAGCAAGAAACAATACAACATAGCGAACAAGTAAAATGCAAGCACCTGGAGGGTAGAACAGAGGGAAGTAAGAGCAGGTTTATCGAAGGTGGAACCCTTGTGGAAAACAGCCCGTAGAAGATGAGAAGAGATACCATAGAGTGTCGTAAGGACTCTCATTCTGCTTTCCAACGAGGCTAGGGCTGTTTTCCGGGCAGAAGGCGAATGCTAATGCTGAGGTGACTGGAGCTGCTTGGGAAAGGACGGTGGGCTACTTTAGAATCCCTCCACAAGGCTTCTGGGCCCAGCCCATTATACCGGCCCAGTCGTTTCATACACCCGAATCGGCTTTGTCCACTAACTAAGTTAAGGCCTATTTGAGATGGCCCTAATTTTTTTTAAATATAATTGTAAGATTATGATTGTGAAAATAACTTACATTGGGAAGTATAAATGTGTATTATTTTTAAAAAATCAGGCAGTTATTTTTCTTATAGTCATTATATTTCAGCTGGGTAAATTAAAAAAATAACGTTTCATCACAAAAACTTCTAGAAATATGTAAGAAAACAGTTTCCCAAATAGAGTTGTGTTGAAAATCTAAAACATAAAACAGATAGAAAATTATCCCAAAATTTTTAGCTCAAATAATGAGTTTTTTCTTATTTATCTTATTTAAAATTTATTATATTTTTTGAATGATGGGGAATAAACTTTCAAATATCTTCAAAAAAATATTTTTGCCTCTTTCATAATTTTAAAAATCTGTGTGATTATTTATTAATTGAATATATTTTTACACATATAATTATGGTAGTGCAACACATAATTAGGGGAGGCACTTATCATCTCTAAACTATTAGTTTACCTTTCAATATCATATATTATATTAAATTTTTGCCTCTCCAAGCTTTAAATACTGAATAAAAATTTAATATTAACTATAATTTTATTTAATAATTATATTTATAATAATTTTGAAATTTAAAACTTAGATAATATTCATCCATTTATTTTTTATTTTGTCAACTCTTAATATAATTTTAATCTTTTTAATGAAAACCAAACACCAACTTTGAATGATGCCAATTAAAATCAGTGATTGACCATTGAAATTTCACATGCCATTATATAATTACCATATATCATTAAAATTTGTTTAATATTTTCAGCTCAATATTTTGGCAAATAATGCCATCCATAGTCAACTTAGTCGGTAGGATATGGAAATTTGATTGTCAATGATTGTTTGATAAGCTTAAGAATCACCATCTCTTTTCTACCAAATCTATAAGACATCTTTGAACATAATAAAAAGAAAGGGGGTTTAGATACATAGAACCCAAAATTAGAGAATTTATATGTCTCACACTCAAAATTTATTATTTGTGTGTAAAGAAATCTAGTTGACACGGCAAAGTCTCGTCGGGTTTTGTAGGACAACGCCGTCGGTGTATTCTCCAGCTGCGGTGAGAGCGAAAAGAAATGAAGAGGGGATGGGTAAAAAACTTAAAATCTACAGAAAGATTAATTTAAAGACTCGAAATCGGTTCGTCACAATTTTGTCGTTGCCTTCTATGGCATATTAGGACATCATCAACGTCGCGAACTCCGATAACTTTCTCGAAAGAATCTAGTCTTGAATCTGTCAGAGTTATGATTTTGAAGATGGGGTGTTAATTTTGTTTTATTTGAAAGTTTACAGTGTTGAACATGTAAATACTGAAGTTTGGGTGCGAAGCATAAAATACTTATAGTTTTGGTTGTTATGTTTGCAAATCCCCCTAAAGTGTATATTTATGAATAGGAAAAAGAAGGAAAATATATAAACAATCGATCGGCAAGTCACCGCTAAGTGAGTGAAGTTGCTTCTCTAAACCTAGGACAAGTCAAAGACCCTAGAGATGGTTCCTCGCCCGATAGCGAGGGTGAGGCATAATTAATCCTAGTGGCAGGTCTCATCTGATAACTCACACAGGCAGCGACAAGATCCGTCTAAGACCTTGCAAATAGGGGTATCTGGCTGAGGCGACGAACCAACTTGATAGACGAGACGCATGCCCTGTAAGGCTTGAGTCAAAGCAAGAAGTGAGTTACGGTTCACCCGATAAAAATGAATTGACTCATCAGTCGACCGACCGACCAACCGACCGACCGAAGTGTTGGTAGAAACCCCCTGATCGTGATTGGATGAACAACCTGCTTTTGCCTCGGCGGACGAGATTGTTGTTCGACTGAACATTTTGGTCGACGAAACACAAGGAACGGTCGCCACTTAGTCAATCGTCACAGTCGATCGCATTTTAGCGAATTGATCAACCAATTACGGTCATATCAAAATTCAAATTGTAAAACAAATATGAAATGAGATTCGTATAATTAATCAAAGCATTAATTACATTAAAAACAGTTTCCACAGTTGTTCCCTCCTCTCTATAATTGTACAAAAAATGTTATTATAAATAAAAAAAATGACCAACAAAGAGAGGCAAACCATTGGGACTTCCTAAGTTATCTTCACAGTAACTCTTGGTACGTATTATTTCTCGTTCACTCGGCTCTAACTCTCCATGTGTGTTCACAAGAGGGGACTTACGTTCTTATATATATATATATATATATATTGAAGATGAACGACAACACGTGTCTGTCCACCACATATATGCTAATTTGACCCAAATTGATTCAAACCCGAGACAGAGGGGACTTACGCCGAAGCTGCCAACCAATAAGACACCAATTGCACACCCACACACATACACATATATATGTAGCTAAGTTGGTAGATCATAGGTTTCGATGTTGTAAGTCCCCTCTGGACTAGGGTTCGATTCCACCCCAGGTGACTGATGTTATATGAGGGTGGTACTCGAGTGGTTAGGTGAATGGATCCAACCGAGACCTGACGGGTTTCGAGCAGGGGATGGGGGGGTCGGGGTGCCTGCTGGTTCAGTGGAAATAGATTGCGGAGGAGCAATGGAGGAGCCTTGATTCTTCCATTAATGTTCCATATCTATATATATATATATATATGAATAATTATCCTAAATACGTTATAATAGCCAAAATTGGAGATGGGCAAATGAGCTTAAATTTTATTTTGGATTAAAATATCACTTCTTTTTGTCTCGCATTGCTTATTAAAAGGTTTAGATGACATGAGTTTGAACAAAGTTTGAGTCATATTGTAAGTAAGCTTAAGATCATAATTAAATCTTGGTCGACCAAACGAATCGAAGAAAGCCCTTGCAAAGTTTGAATATAGTTTAAACATGAATCAAACAAAGAATATGAAGATTCAAGTTCTCTACATAAATTTTGACGCTAAATAGTCTTTTCTTCTCATAAAAAAATATTGATGTGACGCCAACAAATTTTATCCCACATGAATTTCGATGTATTTTTTAAAAAGTAATCTTCCCTGACTTTACGAACTTTATAGTTAAATTGACCGATTGACAAGCTGAACTCAATGATATCAAAGTTGGTTTAATCTAGGTCCAGCATGTTAGGATCCAGTCATTGAAGCACATTTTGAGGCTTTGGATCATCAATCCAAATTTGACATATTTATAGTGAAATTATGTATTACGAAGAAAGAAATCCAATGAGTCTAAGATTGTTAAACTCTGAGGTTTAAGATTAGTAAACTCTGAGATCTAAGACAATCAAAATAACCTATAAATTCTAAAGTTCATTCTGGACTAAAGACCCAGTGGTAAGATTCAACCTCTGTAGCTACCGACCACCGTTGGCCGCCCTCGGTCATCATCGCCGACCGTCAGCAACCTATGCTTCAAAATACGACAGTAATGGATAACAACTGTACTGACATGACGATAACTTCTAACTCGTAGCCACCGACCACAACTAGTTGTCATTGTTTTTTTTCCATCAGCCTCCAGTCAACGATGACCCTTGCCTGCAAACAACGTATCTCAAATATGGTTGTAAAGAATAATAAACGTTTTGAATACCCAGTGAAAACTTCTGGCTTTCATAGCTACTGACCACGGTCGATCACTACCAGTTTTCACACTTGTTGTCGTCGACCAGTGACCACATGAAACCACTGTGTAAAACCTTTGTAGCCAGAATACAAAAATCATTCCTAACATCTGTATTTTCCTTCAAGTTGTATGGAAGCAAGTGTAGTGTTCATTGTAAAATTATAACATTGTTCTCTCTGAGAGAAGGCAACAACGTCCTTTGTGGCCAAATGATGTCATTACAGTCACCAACTACAACCTCAATGGTTAAGTGATGATATTGCAAACACCAACTATGACCTATGTGGCTAACTACAATTGTTACAATTTTTAACTACAACCTATGTGGCCAACTGATGTTATTACAGCTTCTAACCACACTCTTTATGATCATCTATAGCATTTACAACAACTAATTAAGACTTTTGTATCTAACACTATTATTACAGCCTCCAAGTACGACCTCTATGACCAATTGTCATTATCATAGCTTTCAATTGCAACATTTATGATCAACTACTACCTTGTATCAACTAATTATGGTATTAATGACTAACTACTATTATTATAGTCTTCAATTACAACCTCTATGTCGCCGCTATTGCAGCCACGGACTGCAGTTTTTATGACCAACTACTATTTTTGAAACAACCAACTACGACTTTTAAGACTAACTGTTGTTATTACAACCAATAATCATATTTGTTGTAATTCAATTATGACTATTCTAGCTAAACTACCGTTGTACATCTGTGATTATGAATTTTGCAATTCGATCTTCTCTAATTTAGGGGAAGTGTAGACCAATGTACTTGCAATTCTAAAGTGAATTTACTTTGCTTAGGTTAGACTTTGTGGTTTGTTATCTTTCAAAGATTTTTTCCGTAGATTTTTTTCACGGAAAAAAAATCTTGAAATCTTCTGCTACTTACCTTTTATTATGTGCGTGAAAAAACCTTAAAATCTTCCACTACATTTTTTAATCTATGCACGTGATTTATCTTCATACACCACCAAAGCATTAAATATCTCGATATCACCGTGAATTTCTTAGCATACAACAACAATAACAAATAACATTATAGCTCATTTGAAGGAGAAGCCATAAAAGCTCAAATAAAGATCTTTTCAAACCACTTCTTAAATCAATCAACACACTAAGTCAATTTAAGACCGATGAACCAATTCATAATGGAACCGTTAGCACTTAGATGCACATCACCCCTCAAAAAAAGCTATAATTACATACATCTCGCTAGAAACATTAC